CATAATGTTGTATTCAGCACATATCCTAGGCAGCTTATATTCTTAGAGAGTATCATAAATGTGAGTATTTTGTAATCTATATAATTTATGATATAGTAGTATATTTATATTACCTGCTGGGCTCTCTTCGATGAGTCTTTTGTTAGACTGATCATTCCCGCCCAGCTGTTCCTCAAACGGAGTGCCTTTAAGGAATGGTCCACATATTAAGGAAAGTAGGCCACAGGCATTTCCAGGTATTTCGTCCTGAGTGCCTGCCTGCGTTTCAAATGCATTATAAGTTGTCTGTCGGTTATAGACAACAGCCTTTGGTAAATCTATAATACAAAATTATTAAAAATAGGTTCACTATATCACTTTTATTGCCGAATCAACTCACCATCGCGCATCGAATGATCTAATATTCGTTTTAGCTCCATCCAATCTACTTCCATATCCTTACCAGCAATGCTGTCAAATAATCTGCGCAAGCCTTCTTTTTGCGGATCGACGGGCTTTGGTGTTGGAAAACCTGGTATAACCTTATATCAAAGAATATACACATTAGTTTATTATTTTATTATATAGTCATATTGACTTACCTTATTCGAATCGTCACCGTAACCAACGTGATCATCATTTTCTCTATACGGAAGTGAAAAATTGACATGATTGATGAGAATTGAAGAAGAATGATTTTTGAAATTATTATAATTATTTTACAAAGGCATTTTACATGTTGAAGATATAAGTAAATAAATGAAATGAAAGACACCAAAAATATTCATTGTTGATTGAAAATATTAACTAAATTTTTCGATATACTCTACAAATATAAATCTAATTTGATTGATGCAAATGAAAATGTTTTATTTTAATTAAAACAATAAATATAGACTTGTATTGCACAATTGATTTATTCGAAGGTTATTTACATTTGTAATCAAGTATATATAGAGGTAACATACAAGCAACAATTGTAATTGTGCTGAATGTCTTTTCAACAACTAAAAGGATCATAGAAATATATATTTCTTGAAAGTCTTTGCAATAAAATACTAAATATTTTAAATTGAAAATAAATTGTTAGAGCTTAATAAATAAATAATTCTATATAGATTAGCTGAGCATTTAGTGGACGGTTAGGATAGAGATATAGCAAAATGCATTAAAATAATACTCCAATATTAAGGAATTT